CTGGCAGCGCTAACCGCGGGTTCTGCCTTTCAGCCTGAATTTCAAGGACCCCGAGGCGGTGAGGGCTCTGACGTGTACCCTCCTGAAGGAGGATTTTGGGCTTACGATTGACATCCCCGTGGAAAGGCTTATTCCTACCGTTCCCCTGAGACTGAACTACATCCACTGGGTGGAGGATCTCATCGGTCACCAGGATGCTGACAAGCAAGTCCTTAGGCGAGGCATTGACATAGGTACTTGGAAACACAAAACGTTTAATTTCATTATTTACTGTCAGTGAAACCAGCTGATGAAATTTGCTAGTAAATTTCGTTTGAGAAACAAAAAAATCTGAACTGTGCTCGCCATGGTGAAATGGGCAAGTCTGGCTCCGGTGGTGTTTCATTTGGCTTCTTGGTGGGTAGGATTTCTCTGCACAAACACACACGAACGGCCATAGCAGGCAATTATTTGGCTTTTCGCGGCCGTGAACTCTCTTGATTGTACCTTTGTGTGGTATACAAAACTTGTGCTGCTAGGAACGCAGGCAAAAATGTCATCCTAAATGAACTAGAAAAAAAAAAAGATGGCATTTCTTCTTAGTCTTCTAACTAGTGAATTATATTAGCAACCTGTTAAGTTTACTTTTGGATGTCTGCAAATTGCACAGCAACATTTTCTAGTGTTCCTTTTAATAAAATTTCTTCTGTGCTTTGAGTGTATTGGACAGATAAATGATCTGTCTTTTTTAAACTTTGATTTTTTTGTTTGTTTGTTCGTTTTTTCAATGTAGCTGGTTTTGTGAGCTACGTTGTAAAAGCGGCTTAGCTAGAAACTGATGTGAGTACCTGCAAAGCTGTCTTTTGGTCGTAGATGGTCAAAGATTTCCTATATGTTGTTGAAAAAAGGATATGTTTTAAACTGGGCTGCGCATCCACAAATGGATGGTACCGTCCAGCGCACAAGTCTAGGAGTGTTGCAGCTTGCTCAGTTTTGGTATCCAGATAACTGGGTGATACCTGGAGAGTATCTGGGTTAAGCGGTAGGTTAAAGTCAACAGTTACTTAGTAGAGGTGTGAATTTATAAGATATACACTGATGCACGTAATTGGGTTTTCATTAGAAATAACAAAAAGGCAAGCTTTGTAGGAGGAAGAAACCATATTCCACATACAGGTAATAAAATCGGCATTTGGATTCCAGAGTTTTGGTGATTTTGTATGGATTATTTAAAAGGCACCTGTGATGCTACGTTCAAATTTAGTTCACATCTTTTATTTTTGTCAATAGAACCTTCTTTTATGATTTCAAAGGTTTGTTTTTGAAGATTGTTTTGCGATGAAGTAAACTCATAATGAAATTGAGAGAGACTGGAATTTCCTTTCTAACTTGTGTTTTAATGCTTGACATTAAAACTTTACAGTTACTGACTTCAAAGCTTGGGTTCAGCCATCTCAGTTACTGTGCCAGTGCTTTCGTTTCTGTTTTCCTGGTGTTTGCTGGCATGATTCTTTTTTTTTTTTTTTGAAAGGGAAATTTTGGTCTCCTGAAATTTGCTGACTTGCATTTTTTTGCTGGATTTGTGATGGATACACGGTTTATATCATCACGTGGTTTGCACGCAGCTGCTGTCCTTTCGTAACTTTTGAACTTGTCAGGTAGCTTCTGCACAATTGATATTAGGTTGCATTTCTGAAAACAGTTTCTGAGAACTTCCTCACAGTAGGTGGCTAGGTAGAAGAGAGAGATCCTTTAAGTCCTCCAGATATTGAAAAATCTTCAGTTTGAGTTTGCAGTGAGCATTGATGTTCCAACCCTGGGAAAGCAGTAAGCCATCCAAGAGGAACATTGCAGGAGCGCTGGAGATAACTGCGTGCTTTTGTGTACCGACAGGCGTTGTTACGTGTGTTTCAATAAGTCAGTAGAACAGTAGACTCTTGATATATCTCCAAACTCAACTTTTGTGGTGGTGCGATATCTTTCCCTTTTCTTGTGTCCGTTCCCTTTAATCCTGGATTTGTCATTGGTAATTTGACCACGTACGTATGCCATGATTCTTGGATGTATTTCTTTTTATTGCCAAGTTTTTATCTGTCTGGGTATCTTTTTAGAT